TGTGTGTGTGTGTGTGTGTGTGTGTGTGTGTGTGTAAGGAGCTCTAGTAGCGTAGTGGTTACAAATCGGGCTGTGAACAGCAAGGTCAGCAGTTTGAAACTACCAGCCGCTCTGCAGGAGAAAGATGAGGCTTTCTGCTCCCGTAAAGATTTACAGCCTCAGAAACCCTGTGTAAGGTTGCTGAGTTGGAACCAGCTCCACGGCACATAACTGCTGACCCTGAGGTTAGCAGCCCTATTCGTAACCACTACACTACCAGTGTACCATATATATATATAATTTGTTGTTAAGTGCCATCAAGTTGGCAGTTCAAACGCACCAGCTACTCCTTGAAAACCCTATACAGTGTCCCTGAGTTGGAACTGATTTGATGGCACTTAGTAGTAACAACAACAATGATCTCCACTGTGATTCAGGAATAAAAGTACACTCCTTAGTGATAACAGGTAAGGTAGTTCATGCCGAGAACAACTTCATTCACCAGGTGTAATGAAACTACTTGCAGTTGTTGTAATCCAGTTCACAACTGACATTCTTCCCTCTACCCTTCCTATGCATACCCATGGCTTCTGTGGATTTTAAAAATAACCCTCTCCCCCTCTGGAAGGACAAAATCTGGCAGTGCTCAAAATTTGGCAAGAATAGGTTGCCTTCCAGCAAAGAAAAGAGATTCTATTCCTCCTGTAATCTCAGGCCTTGTCAGGACTTGGGAAGGTTAACAAGGACTAGATTTCAGCTCCCACCTACCTTCTTGGCAGGGTACCGCTGCACACTTCACAAACTACACAGCTATACAGGGTGGAGCTGCTGTAGAGCAACAGTTAGCCTAATCTGCCCAAATGCAAAGTCATTTCAACAGCAAGGTTGATGGTTCAAGCTCATCAGCTGCTCCTTGAAAACCCTATACAGGGTCACTATGGGTCAGAACTGACTCGATGGCACTTAACGACAACAACATCCTGAATCTTCAGACCACGAATCAGAAATCTGCCCTGCTAAGGAGCATTTTCTGATGTTCTCTGACATTCACACCTGATTATCTCTTTCCAGTGCCTGGAGAAATGACCTAACACTGGTGGAGGGTCAGGCAAAAAAAAAACAAAGGCCCTCAACTAGGTGGACTGACACAGTGGCTTTAACAATGGGCTCAACTCTGAGGATGGTATACACGTGTGTGTAGGGGCGATAGTCAGAACTTAACTCAGTAGCACCTAACAACGTCTTTTTCCATGGGAGCGGGGGTTGGGTGGGTGGGAAGCACCTTAGGGTGAAGGTTGTGATCTCTAATTTTTAGTGAGGCAGCTGAGTGTCTGTTTATCTATACTGCACTTGCCTCAGAATTCTAAGCAGGAGTATGACTTCTAGGAATGAGAACTTTTATGCACTCCATGAGTGCTAGTTCTTTGAGTATGTCAGAACACTTAACACGAAACAATGTTGGCAAAGTGTTTTTTGAGTATATCGGAACACTTAACACTTAATACAAAACACTTAAACAATGTTGGCAAAGTGAAAGCCAACATTATTATTTTTAGAACCATACTGTAAACAATATAGGAACACATTACTTGTGGTGAACCAGTCCTGACTCCCTACACACAGGTCACTTTGTAGGAGAGGAAGCTTCTTATGCCTCAAATGGAGAACCCCAGCGAATCCTTCCCTCAAATGACCCACGTTCCTATTTACGTCATTCAGCAGGCTCACAGTGGTTGAGATGAGATGCTGTATTCACAGTGCTGGCGCTGCTGTCTGGCTCTCACCATGCTGTCTGGGCTCCCTGCCATACTCAGGGTCTCTACATCTCCCACTGCAGTGAGTCCCCAGAACCTGCATGGCTCCTACCTCATCATGTCATGTCCAGGGGGCCTGACAGCTCCTTCTACCCCTGAAATACTCAGCTTCTCTCTGTGGCCAACTGTCTCTCTCCAGTTCTGTGTTACAGCTCTTGGCCTGTAGCATTGTTGTTAAGTGCCATTGAGTCAGTTCTGATTCATATGGACTCTGTTTTCATAGGATCAGCACTGTAGGATCAACACTGGACTGTGAACCTCAAGGTCAGTGGTTTAAACCTACCAGCTGCTCTTCTGAAACAACAAGGAGTTTCCCAGGCTGTAAATCTTTGGAGGAGCAAAAAGCCTCATGCTTCTCCCAAGGAACTGCTGGTTGGCTTGAAACACTGACCTTGTGGTTCACAGTCCAGTGGTTATCCTACGAAGCCACGATGCTCCCTATAGTGTTGTTGTTAAGTGCCGTCTAGTCAGTTCTGACTCACAGTGACCATAGAGTTTCTGAGGAGCAGCTGACGAGCTTGACCCACCAACCTTGTGGTTCAAACTGACTTTGCAGTCCAGCGCATTAACCCACAGCACCACACCAGGACTCAACTCTTTTTTTTTTTTTTTTGGCTGTAGGATTCTCAGCAAAGGGACTTCTGGCCTGAAGATTTTACTCCATTCCAGGCTCTTGCTGACCATGAGAACCCTTCAAAACTTCTGGGTGATTGTCCTTAGTATAGGAAAACTCCGTGTCTATCTCAAGTTATGGTCTACTTAGCAGGTCCACAACCCAGTCAACCCCACTGGATAGATTACAAGTCACAAATTTGGCTACTAAAAGAACCAGTCCCTGCAAGCTGCTTCTGCAGATAGTAAGTAGATCAGTCACTTGTGACACTGCTATCTAACCAATCATTTTGGGAGAATTATAAATCCAAGACCAGAAAGGTCATCTAAGAGAAACTATTTGCATCACACTGGGACTTATTTATCAGTTGCTAAGTCCTGGTATGACGCTGTGGGTTAATACGCCAGACTGCAAAGCCATTTTAACTGCAAGGTCCCCGGTTCAAGCTCACCAGCTGCTCCTCGGAAACCCTATACATGGTCACTATGGGTCGGAACCAACCCCACGGCACTTCACAACAACAACAATGGTAGCGCAGTGGTTACGAATCAAGCTGCTAACCTCAAGGTCAGCAGTTCAAAACTACCAGCTGTTCCGCAGGAGAAAGATGAGGCTTTCTGCTCCCATAAAGATTTACAGCCTCAGAAACCCTGTACAATGTCACTGTGAGTCGGAACTGACTTAATGGTACTTAACAACATTCTAAAGTAAAAATCTATTATTTATGTTCTCCGAAAGAACACTTTAAGGACACTTCAACTATAATTTCCAGTTATTGTTGTTAGGTGCTGTCGAATCAATTGTGGATTCACAGGAACCATAGGTGATGCAGTAGAACTGTTCCATCAGGGTTGTCCAGGCTGAAATCTAGGAACTGAAATCTAGGCTGAAATCACCAGGGCTTTCTCTCACTGAGCCACTGGATAGGTTCATGTGCTTAACCTTTGTGCTATCAGGGTTCCTTTACCGCAAAATTAGTAAAAGCTAACATAGTTTAGGCAAAATTAGGGTGATGGTGATAAGAAATGATGAAATTAGCTACAATTTTGAAAAGGTGACCTATTCTAGTTATGGAATGTAGCATACAGTATTTTTTAGAAAACAGGCAGACAGAATTTTAAAGCTAGAGACAGAATGGATCCAAGATTAAGTCAGATGGCTCCATTGCTCTGGTTACAGCAGTATTCACCATTTCCTTTGATGGAGGTTAGTTTCTGTTACATACTACTCGCAAGAGACTACTCTTCTGTTACAGAGGAAGAAAATGAACCCCTCATGATAATTTGTCTAACTTCCTATAAGTAGCTAGCAGAGGAGCCAAGCCTTGAACTCCACTTCAACTCACTGCTAATTGTTCAAAAACCTAAGAAGTTACTATTCTGAGGTACTTGGGCCACTAAACTCTCATTCTATGACCCACAAGTCATGTTGTCAGATGGACAAACACTATGTCAGTCATCACCAGGGACCTTCTAACTTCTTGATCTCATACTCCTAATAGAAAATATTTGTAAAACATTTCCCCATCTGGACATTCACTTATGCATGCATTATATACATAAATTACAATATTGTGTGTTTGTCCTTGACAGTTTTATTTTGTTCACATATTTTAAAGAAATACTTCTTTCTTCACAGAATGTTGCCCTCAGATTGAAGCCCCAATCCCAAGCAGAAAGGCCAGTGCCATCTAGTGATCCAGTGGTAAACTATACTTTCTCTGGCCTTGCTGCCTACTGTTTGGGTTTACATGTTATAAAACACCCACTGCCATGAAGTAGAAGGAACCCTGGTAGCATAGTGGATTACATGATGGGCTGCTAATGACAAGGTCAGCAGATTATATCCACCAGTTTGTTTTTATGAGAAAAATGAAGCTTTCTGCTCCCATGAAAATGTACAGACTTAGAAATCCTCTACAGGTGGCTATGAGTTGAAACTGGTACACAGCAAAAGCCATGGAGTAGATTCCAATTTATAGTAACCCCGCAGGGCAGAGTAGAATTGCCCCTTAGGGTTTCTGAGATTGTAAATCTTTAGGAGAGCAGACAGCCTTATCTTTCTCCTATGGCGAGGCTTTTAGGTTTGAACTGCTGACTCTGCAGTTAGCAGTCCAACAATTAACCCAGTAGGGATCGAGCACAAATGTTCCAAAATGGCCACCCTAATATCAACTTAAACCGTATCTTCTATCCCTTCCCTCTGCTCTTGCTATACACACCAAAGCTCTTTGTTCTTATGCTTTAGCTATATAATATGCTCCCTCTTGTTGTTGTTGTTGTTAAGTGCCATCGAGTCGGGTCCGACCCATAGCGACCCTGTACAGGGTTTCCGAGGGTGTAAATCTTTATGGGAGTAGAAAGCCTCATCTTTCTCCCGCGGAGCGGCTGGTAGTTTTGAACCGCTGACCTTAAGGTTCGCAGCCCAATTCGTAACCACTACGCTACCATATGCTCCCTCTAGGTATACTAAAATGCTTTGTTCTCTAGGAAAGGGCAGGTCACATGACACCTTGTGGTTTTCCTGCCCTTTCTGTGTTCCTTATGTCATCTTTAACTGCCCTGACATGTGAAACTTGTGTACTTCATGATATAAAAAGATCCTAGCTAACAGCCACCACTGAAAACAGCCACTGTTCTCATCCTGGTCATTAAGCTTCCCTGTCTGTAAACCATTTCTCTGTTTTCCATAATAAACTGGTATCTCTCAGTCTAACTCCTAGTCACTCTTTCGGTCTCTTGGCAACCACATATGCAGAAGGTTCTCCCTTCTGGGTTTAAACCCAAACAAACCCATTATCACCAGTGCTTCTTATAAAACAGGCTCTGCTAAATTCCCAATTCTTCATCCACTTGTGTTAAAACTCAGTTCTCTTGCCCTCTCCTCTGTCTTTGTCAGACTTCTTTCAGCCACTCATCTTTTCCAGTTATTCCTTAACAGTCATGGGATTAACCATGCTCCTAGAATATGTTGTTGTTGTTAAGTGCTGTCGAGTTGGTTCCAACCCATAGTGATCCTGTATAGGGTTTCCAAGGAGCAACTGGTGAGCTTGAACTGCTCACCATGTGACTCAAATGACTTTGCAGTCCAGTGCATTAACCCACAGCTCCATACCTAGGCTATAGCACATACATAAAGAAAATCAGAAAACGAATCTCAATACGATCATATGCATATGGGGAAAATGCTAGAATGAAATCTAAGAATCAAAAATGATTTAATTTAATTACCAAAGGAAACCAAAATCCATAGTCATTGATTCAATGCCAACACATAGCAACTCTCTAGGACAGACAAGAACTGCCCCACAGGGTTTCCAAGGCTGCCATCTTGGTGGCAGCAGACTGCCACGGCTTTTTCTCCGTGCAGTGGCTGATAGGTTTGAACTGCAGACCTTTTGGTTAGATTCCGAGTGCTTAACCACTGCACCACCAGAACTCCACAATTTAAATGCTGAAAAGTATATATTTATTTGTTTATAGGTATATCCATGAGGGCAGAAACCATTTCTGTATCCCAAATGCCTGAAACCAGGTCTGGCACACACATAGCAAGTATTCAATAACATTTTGTTGAATCAATTGGCTGTTTCAGGATTTGTTGTTGTTAAGTGCCATCAACTCGGCTCTGACTCATTGCAACTGTATACGGTTTCGGAGGAGCAGTGATTCCACTTTTTTTTTTCTCTGAACACTTAAATTTTGCAACTGTTCAATGATCAACATGAATTCATATAATTAGAAAAACATGATACAATGAATTGTCAACCAGGCTCAAGAGTCATAATGTTGTTGCTGCTGTTAAGTGCCCTCAAATTGGTTCCGACTCATAGCAACCTTGTCTAGGGTTTCCAAGCAACAGTTGGTGAGTTTGAACTTCCAACCTTGTGATTCTCAGTTCAGTGCTGGTCCTATAGCACCACACCAAGAGTCATAATAATGGTTTATAAAAAATCACAACCATGGCAAAGATTTTAAACAGCTGTCTAATCATTCACTTACTACCAACCAGGAAAGTGACTAGAGTCATCTTTATCCTGTCTAATGGAGAAGAACATTCAGCTTGGTAAAATAAAGTCATCAAAACAGAGGAAGAGCCCCAACAAGCTGAACTGACAGTGGCAGCAACAATTGGCTCAAATATCACAACAATTGTGAGGATGGCATAGGACCAGATGATCCAATGTAACCTAGCAACAACAACAACAACAACAACAACTGCACAAAGAGCAGTTAGGAATGTGCTGACAAGAGTAGGAATAGTCTCTGACGTCCCCTCACTCTCATTTATAACATGAAGATTAGGATGCTGCACTCACCAATCCAATAGCATGTTAAAAGAGTAAAGAAAATGTCAATGCTCAGGAAAAATATGTGATCATATTGTAGGATAAGGTTAAGTAAATTTATAATGAAACATGGTTGTTAAAAATATAAGACAAATAGATCCACAAACCTCACAGCTAGCCATTGCTGATCCACCAAAAGATGAACTTTGTCAATTCTGATATTTTTAGCAAAATGTAGTCGTTTTGGTAAATCAGGAGTCAAATATGGTTTGAAATGCTGGTCAAATTTTCGGCACTAAAAAACAAGTAATTATTTCTTAATGAGACATAAGATAGGCAAACCAATTCAACAATTTCATCTTTCTAAAACTATTTATTGTGGTTGTTGTATGTGGCCAAGTTGATTGTGACTCATAGTGACCATACAGAACAGAGTAGAACTGCCAGACAGGATTTCCAAGATGATTCTTTATGAAAACAGACTTCCGTAGCTTCGTCCTACAGAGCAGCTGGTGGCTTCAGATCGCCAACCTCATAGACAGCAGCTTAACCACTGAACCATTAGGATGCCTTAGACATTGACCACTTTTTAAAAGCAAGGGAATTTAAGCCAGTTAAATCCTGGTGTGGTGCTGTAGGATAAGCATTTGGACTGCGAACCATCAGCTGCTCCTCGGAAAACCCTATACAGTGTGGTTATGAATCAGAACTTATTCAAAGGCACTTAAAAACCACAACAATAAAATAGTAATGCTAGACCTATTATCAATATGATCATGTTCTCTCATTATACTGTTACAACAACTTCTAGGTAACCTGATTTAAATTTGGTGCTCAATATTTTAAGTTTAATTGATATATATATATATATATATATATATATATATATATATAATATAAAAAAATCATTAGTCTGTTCTCCTTCTTTGAGAGAGACTATGTTTAAGTAGTAAATCTAGATTTTGAGTGGCATTGCAACTTTTTAATCTAAATTATGCATGAAAAACATGTAGAGATTAATAACATTGAAAAATCAGTGCAATTAAACCAAGAATTGCTTCCCAAATGACTGAATGAGTGCTTCCCAAATGACTCAGTATATCCTTTCAATAAAATGCATTATCATCATCTTCAAATCAAATTGGGAGCTTTTGAAACCTAGTGCAGTCTATTTTTGGTTAAAAAAAAAAAAGATGGATCCCAGAATATTAGAGTAAAATATTGTTTCTTCAAAATTACTGTTGTAACTAGATGGCATATATTTATAACTATGTAAAATGCAAGTCATATTGGATGTATTCATGTAAAATAAATGATTAAATAAGAAGTAGAGCTACAAAGGAACTTTTTTCTCCCTCATGACCTTTTTGAGGAAAAAGAGAAAATATATAAACGTAAAGAGAAATTTATGGGAAGTAATTTTTCTCTAGCTTCTTATTTTTAGCATTTTTAAACTACAAAGGCAATACACAGTACATTTTTCTCTCATGACCTTTTTAAGGAACAAGAGAAAAAAATAAACATAAAGATAATAAAATTGAGAGATATGTGTTTTCTATTTCCTCATTGATTTTAGACCTTAATACTTCGTAAATATTGACAAGATGGTGTTACTAACATCTCATTCTCAACTGATACTGCAACAACAAAAAAGAAATGATAAAAATGAATAAGAGACAATTTCAAAAGAAAATTGGAAAGCAGAGAGTTATAGAGTGAAAAAGTAAAGAAAAACAGATTTATTGCACATGTATTTTTGTCAAACGTTTCCTCCCTAGTTTGGTCTTCCTGTCTTTTTATGGCTTCTTAGTTTTCTACTTTTTCATTTATTATTATTTCCTTCTTAAGCCAATATTTTCCCTAACTTTTTAGCAGGCACATGATAACCTCTATAAATTAGTCAATTCCAACCCATAGCAATCCTTCTAAATAGAGTAGAACTCCTCCTTACAGTTTCTAGGACTAAATTTCCACAGGAAAAGACAGTTGCATCTTTTTCCATTGGAGTTACTGGTGGGTTTGAACCATCAACCTTCTGGTTAGCAGTTAACTGCTTAACCCACTACATTGCCAGTGTTTCTCAGGCACATGATAGTAGATGCTAAGTATGCATCCTTCCCCAAGATGAAAGAGACTAGAATATGCCCCTGAGAACCAAAGTTAATTTAGCTAGTCACACAAGCCAGAGGGTAGCCAGAGTAAACCTAGAGAAAATTGGTAAGAATTTATCAATCTCTGAAAAGTATACAGTTAATCCTTGCATTTGAGAGTTTTGGATAAGACACCAGAGTTGAGATAAGATTTTAGTCAACTTCATTATAAACAAAGCTGATGTTGATGTCTCTCTTGAAGACAGCATTGTATTCATTGTCAAAAAGAACACTTCAAGACCTATCCTGTCTGTAATAGGATAATATCCAGACACCTGCAAGGAAGACCCACTAATACCACTATTATTCAAATTTATGAACCAACCACTAAAGCCAGTGATGATGAAATTAAAGAATTCTACCTACTTCTTCAGTCTGAAATTGATCAAACTTACAAACAAGATGTATTGATAATTACTGGTGATTTGAATGTAAAAACTGGATACAAGAAGGATCAGTAGTTGGAAAATTTGGCCTTAGTGGTAAAAATGACCGTTGAGATTGCATGACAGAATTTTGCAAGGCCAATGACATTGCAAATATCTTTTTTAAACAACATAAGCGGCAACTGTTCACATGGACCTCACAAGATGGAATGCACAGGTATCAAATTGACTACATCTGCAGAAAGAGACAATGGAAAAGATCAACATCATCAGCCAAAGCAAAGCCAGGGGCAGATTGTGAAACAGACCACCAATTGCTCATATTCAAGTTCAGGCTGAAGCAGAAGAAAATGAAAAGAAATCCATGAATGCCAAACTATGACCTTGAACATATCCAACCTAAATTTAGAGACTATCTCCAGAAGATATTTAATAGATTAGAAACTAAAGACTGAAGACAAGAGTTGTGAGATGATGTCAAGAACAGCATACAGAAGGAAAGTAAAAGGTCACTAAAAAACAGGAAAGAATGGAAAGACCAAAATCACTGTCAGAAGAAACTCTGAAACTTGCTCTTCAGCATCGGCGTCACGGTCATGATGTGCCGTGGAGTCAGTTCCAACTCATAGCAACCCTGTACAGGGTTTCCAAGGCTGAAAATCTTTACGGGAACAGAAAGTCTCATCTTTCTCCCTTGGAACAGCTGATAGTTTCGAACTGCTGACCTTCAGGTTCACAGCCCGATTCATAAACACTATGCATAGTGAAAGTAAAACAAATGGATGAAATGAGAAGGTAAAAAGCTAAATAGAAAATTTCAAAGGGCAGCTCAAGAAGACAGTCAAGTATTATAATGAAATAGACAAAGCCCTAGTATTAGAAAAATCAAAAGGGCAGAACACACTCAACATTTCTCAAGTTGAAAAAAACTGAAGAAAAATTCAAGTCTCAACTTGCAATATTGAAGAACTACATGGACAAAATATTGAATGAAGCAGAAAGCATCAAGCAAAGACTGAAAGGATACACAGAGTCACTGGACCCAAATAAAGTGGTCAATGTTCAACCATTTCAAGAGGCAGCATGTGATTTTTACTGAAGGAAAAATCCAAATTGCACTGAGGATATTGGTACAAAACATGACTCCCAGATTTGATGGAACACAAATTAAAGCATTTCTACATACTGATGAGGCAGTGGAGGTGCACACTCAACTATACCAAGAAATTTGGAAAACAACTACCTGACCAACCAATTGGCACAAATTGGAGATCCATATTGTGCCCATATCAAAGAGAGGTGACCCAACAGAATATGAAAATCATCGTTAATTTTTGCTGATGATAATTTAAAAAACAATTGCAACAGTACATCACCAGGCATTCAACTTGAATTCTGAAAAGGACATGGAACTAGGGATATGATTCCTGATGTCAGATGGATTGGAGGTAAAAGCAAAGAACACCCAAAAAATGTTTATTTGTGCTTTACTGACTATGCACAGCTTTCGACTGGGTAGGTCATGGTACACTATGGATGACACTGCAAAAGATAGCTATTCCAGAACACTGAATTGTGCTCATGAGGAACCTGTACATAGACCAAGAGGCAATTGTTAGAATAGAACAAGAGAATATTGACTGGTTTAAAATCAGGAAAGGTGTGCACCAGGGCCATATCCTTTCACCATACTTACTCAGTTTGTATACTGAGCAAGTAATCTGAAAACCTGGATTGCTTGAAGAAAAATGAGGTAGGAAAACTCATTAACAACTTGTAATATGCAGATGATACAATTTTGTTCACTGAATGCAACAAGGGCTTAAAATACTTACTAATGAAAATCAGAGCTCACACAGCCTATAGTGTGGATTGCACTTCAATGTAAAGAAAAAAAAAAACCTTGCAATTGGACCAGTAAATAGTATCATGATCAATGAAATAATAATTGAAGTTGTCAAAGACTGTTTGGCTTGGCTCTACAATCAATGTTTATGGAAACAGCAGGCAAGAAATAAAATGACATATTACATTATGCAAATCTGCTGCACAAGACCTCTTTAAAGTACTCAAGAGCCAAGATGTCAGTTTGAGGACTAAGGGGTGCTGACCTAAGCCACGATATTCCCAATAGCCTCATATGCATGTGAAAGTTGGACAATGAACAAGGAAGACCGTAGACGAATCAGTGCATTTTAATTATGGTGTAGGAGAATATTTAAAAGTACTGTGGACTGGGACTTCCGTCAAGATGATGTAATAGGCAGAGGCACTACACGGACCCTTTACAACAAAGATATGAGAGACAAAATAAAACAACACAGATGAAAATTATGGCACCTGAACTTCAAAAGAAAAGTTACAGAGGTAAATGGAGTGCTTGCTGGGAGGAAAGACCAAACAGGGATGACTAGAGAGGGAGATTAACTGGTAAATTACTGGCCAGGTATGGCTCATCTGTCGTGTAAGTGTCTTTGGCAGTGGAGGGAGTCCTGGCAGAGCAAAGGATCTATTTCTTCTTCCCCCCCACCCCCCACACTTCCCTGGTAACCATAGTGTGGCCAACTTCCACTCTCATTGACTCTCAGAAATGACCTTGCTCTACAGGAGCTCAAAGCTGCATTGGTTGGAAGACATGTTAGCATGAGCTGGGACCAACTGCACTGCTTTGTTGTACTACTTTGGTTCCTCGATTCAGGTAAGCTTGGCTCCTAAATCCAGACCTACAAAACTTGCAGAGCCATCAGACCAGCATTTAACCCTGTGTTCCTAACTGACACTAAAACCAGCTCCATTATGGGTCCCCATGAACTACTTATTTCCTGATTGAGTGCCCTGAACATAGATAATGCTGAGGTCAAGAGAAACTCCATCTAAGGTCAGAAACTCTGCCGTCACATCCTATCCACAACCACCTCGTGAGCTCCTTGGATTGCATAATGCTCCCACCCCCCACTCCCACACACCTCCCACAGAGGTTTCTCCCCTCTGCACTGTTTGTTTTTACAAATACAACAATCTGAAAATGCCCCTGAGACAACAGACAATTTTAAATCACAGGTTAAAAACAAGAGAGACTGGCTCAAACAGATGACCAAGATGCAGAGACAGAAAATATTTCTGAGGAAGAAAAAATAATAGAACTATCTGAAAAAGAATGATAATTTGGTATCTTTGAAGGATCAATAGTAAGATCAAGGAAGGCAAGAAAAACATAATAAAAACTTTTGAGGAATTCAGGAAATCACTACAAGAACAAACAGACAAAAGAAATACAAATTTTGAAACAATATAAAACCTTCTATTAGAAATCCATAAGATTAATACTAAGATCTCAGAAATGGACAGTACATTGAAAGGGCAAAGGAGTAGATTTGAATCAATGGAAACCCAAATTAGTAAATGAGAAGATAAATCACTCATATGCTAGAAGAACAATCAGAGAAAAAGAATGAAAAAAACCCTAAGTGTTATATGGGACACCATGAAGAGGACCAGCTCACAGGTGGTTGGAATTCCAGAACAGAGATAAGCACAGAGAAAGTTGTCAAAGAGTTGTTGGAAAGCAGATGGGAGAACAATTAGACAGGTCTCAATGGGCTAAGTGATACAGAGGTAAATAATGATATGTGCACAACCTGGGAACAACAGGGTTCTGAGATACAGAGATCAAGTTATGGTTGGAATGTGGAAAAGGGGGGAATAATATTAAGATGCTTGGCTGTCTTTTGAATCTTGGTTTTCCTTGCATTATATTATAAAATAGACACTGGAGGGGGAGAGAAA